TACGGAGTATTCTTGTACATAATATTATCCTAATACTTTTTTTTATACGGATGGTGGTCATGATTTTTTTCTGGTAACAAATAGCATTGCGTCATTTTCATTGGTCGAACTGAGTTACCTGCTGACGCCGTATTCATGCAAAGGGTAACTTCGGCCGATTTCTGTTCAGCTGATTTGCACTTTATTTGTAAAAACTAAATACCCTAAATTTAAAAGGTATGAATTTAAGTTACAAATTTAAACATAGTTGATAAATTTCACGAAAGGAATATCCACTGTGTCTTTCTGTATATACAAGATATTTTTAGAGGTGATAAATTGATAATTCCCCGCAATGGTTTAGAAATACTCGTCCGTAATTTTTCGGGCGATAAAGTTTCTTCTTGGATGTAATTTTCCAGTAAAGTAATAAATTTTGCCTATTATTATCAACATTGATTTGTATATGAAAAATGCATTTTCTTTCTGCATAGAATAGATGTGTGTACACTATAATGGGTTATAAACAAATTATTTTAAGGTATTTATGAACAGTCGAAATTAACCAGGTGGTCGAAGTTACACTCGTCTGTGACCATCCTAACCTATATCCTGACGTTAAAAAAAGTCTTGTATCTATGTAAGTAAATTACTGCATAGTTACACCATTTGATAAATAAATACATCAATCAGTGGATAGGTTTGTAACGTAGACCTTCTGATTTTAAATTCATTTATTTACCTCACTCGGCCGATTCGTACCTCATCTGGATGAAGGTGACGGAATCAGCCGAGGTTTGCCGAATGTTATTTACCTTCGACCAGCCTTTAAATATTGCAGTATTTTTCTTTGCATCATCATAGGAAATTGACAAGTGCTGTCTACCCTTCAAACGAAATGAGATAATATTCATAGCCTAGGGAATGCAAGGTTTTCAGACTTGATTTTTAAGAAAACTGATACTTGGTCATAAAATAAAATTACCATTTTTTAATTGACCATTAATTATAAAACCAAAGTATGGCATTATTAATATTAGTCATGTCATATTTTGAAAATTTTAGGGGGGGGGGGTGCGCCCGCAAGCCCCACTTAAATCCGCCAGTGGGGGCAGGCCTCCTCTAAATCTGTCAGTGTTTTCTTTCATTATACGGACTTGCAGAATAAGCGAAATACTCCAGACATTTAATAAAAATCTCAAACCCGATCTGAAACGCGTTGACAAAGTCAAACCAGACGGTTTTAGTTTTTACGGCATTTTTACAGTGATATGAGAAAAGTCGGATAATTGCTGTTAATTTTAAGAAATAAAGTTCGGCATTTTTCAACCTCGTTCGGTATAATATAATTTACTGATAATTTTTTCCGTTAAGGAGGTACACATGGACGAAGTATAAAAAAAGAGGTATTCTGCATGTACATGTACACATCATTGCTATAATTGTGTACTCGGGATTAAACCCAAAATCCTTCGTTACATTGTATTTGGGTATAATTTTCACATGTTCTCAGGCGGATAATCATTTATTTTTATCTGTCTAAAGACAATAATTTCAGTTAATAGAGAAATGTTTTTATTTCGTCGTTTTTTCCCCATCCTTTTGGTTTACACGTTTGCTTTGTACACAAAAGCGTGTGTTCATATACCGCTGTTCCTACACGCTATCGATGTGACGGGGAGAACATGATATCCTCCAGCAATTTACTGCTTATGAAAACACTCAATGAAAACATATTAGGTGAAAATATATACACGCATTAGTATCTTAGTACCTTAGTATCGACCTGTTTAATTGCAATGTCACCAACCGTAACGATCGCTGGCCAGGACTTTAATATAATTTATTACCGTTATTAAAACAACTCGTCAGCTGAGTGGACCTATGATTTAAACAGTAAAATAGGGAAATTCCAGAGTTCGAAGTGTATTTATTTTGGGCGCTCTTCCGCATAAACAAATTAAATCGCATTTACGCGTACTTGCATGCATGTACCAATAATTTGTGTCATGGGTAAATTCAATTTATTAGATGAAATAAAACAAATGCATAAGATTAATCTTCCTAAACAACACGTTTTTAAAACAATCTATCTGATTAACTGACGGTATAAAATAACAAAGAAAATAAAGGGTTTGTGTTTGTATTTAATTTGGAATGAGAACAAATCATAACCTGTCAAATAACTTATAAAACATACTTCGTTTTCCAGATACTAATTGCCATGCGTAATCTTCACATGCACTGACCAAGAGGTCACAAGTTTGAAATGTATGGCTTCTCATTGCGTGAGTTTTGTCAACACATGTCGGAGTAGACTATTTAAGCCAATTGATTCCCAAAGAAAACTGCATAGGAAGGGTTCTTTTTTGGTACACTTTTTAACGGGTAAAATTCATTCGACGCTCGATAGAATTTTCAAATACAAGTGAAATATTGAGGCGGTTAAGTTACATGCGTCCGACCTAGTATTTTGTATGCAATAATATTGTAAGTTAGGAAGAAAATAATACAAACTCAAAAGTACTTAATTTTATTTTCGATTTTCCTGACAATTAAAAATGTGACCTCTACATACAATTATCGTTTTTAATTATATACATCCTGTTTAATGTTCATGAAAGAAATAGCAACTCGTTAAATAATAACATAAGAGAGATAAATAAACTGTTTCTTTAATACGCAAAGAAAGTGGTCTTTTCGGCATTCAAGATTCATTGAATTTGAAGTGAATAAGTGAAAGGCACTTAAGACTAGCTGATTAAAACGAGCGAGTGATAATTAAACAGTAAGACGGAATCATATGAAAGATTCGAAATGATTTTAAAGTAATTTTCCACAAAGCGCAATTATCTCAACAATGCAATGTTTATAAGAATAAATATGCAACTTTCTTGTAATTGAGCGAATAAAATATAAATCGAAATGTACTAGCGACTTAATCAAAGATATGAAATAATCTGAAAGATTCAACATATCCACTCATCACTTAGTTAAAATGTATTTGGAATGGCCATTCTATGGTTTGATTTGTGTATGACCTTAGGTCGCTGGTTCACACGCCGATTGATCCTCGGTGACCTCCTTTGCCACGCGCTATCGAGGGAGGGATTACATAATTGTAAACACACCAGATGAATGTAAAAGGCGTGTACTTAATGGCTGTGAATAGTCTATGTTTAAAGTTTTGTTTTATTTTCTAACTTTATTGTTTGTTTTTATATGATAAGAAGAAAAGGTTATCTTTTTTTCCCTGTTTAGTAGACTAATTTATCCAAATTTGAAAACAAACGAAATAAAAGGGAAAGTAGTCAGTAAATAATTTGGAAATAAAGCACAAAATACTTCAAAAACCTGATTCTAAAGAATATTAGCATCTAATATAGCAAGGTTTATTATTTATAGTAAGTTTATTTCAATTACACGCATGAAGAGGTCTTGTTTACTTGCTGAATGAAAACACTTACCTGTATATGTGTTATGCTTCTAGCTCATTTAGAACACAAGACTCAAACAAAATAACATTTTCTTGAGATCAATAAGATGTTAAATAACAACTTTAATTACGGCAGCTATTTCGAAATATTTCGTTTTTGAGTTATAAAGCAAAAACCTTAAAGGGCCCCAGATCCCTAATTTTAGGGGCCAGACCCTTTTTAGTGGTCTCAAATGAAAGGCCTTAAAATTGTGAACAACTTTTATTCTACATGTTTTATCAAAATATTTTTAGTTTAGAAGATAAAAAGGAAAATATGTGTAAATTTTCGCTCTTTTTGGCGTTCTAATTTTTGACCCCTCTCTAGCGCCATTTTGAATACAGAAATTGAAAAACAAAAACCGATGTGCACAACTTCAGTGCTTCTATTATTTAAATTCGGTAGAATTTCTACTCCAGCTTCAGTAGTCTCTGAGCCTTTGTCTGGAAATGAAGCCTCCTAAATTTTCATTTAAAGGGAGATAACCCAAAAGCGGAAGTGGGTTTTTGAAATGTTTGACAGCATTCTGATAGAATTTTGTAACGTCTTTAAACCCTGCAAATTTGAGCAAAATCCGTTGAGAAATGAGCAAGATATGAAGTCTCAAAGTTGGCGTCTAGGAAAAAAAAAAGAATAATAAGAATAATCTTAACCATCAGAATCAGTAGAAGGTCTTCCGCCTGGAGCGGAAGACCTTAATTATGCAAGAATGTTTATCGTATAATTAAAAAAGTACTTTCTTAGTTTTAATAATCAGGTAGACCTGTAAGTAATAGATAAATAAAAATGAGACAAAAATAACTTATCTTATTAAAAGTTCTTCAAAGACCATAAGAGAGGTCAATGCTAGAGATCTTAATATGGGTTTAAAAATAGTACAGAAGCACTAATAGTTTGTTAATAGTCTGCATGGTGATAGTGTTAAGTGGGGGACAGATTAGAACTCAATTTCTGAGTTGATAGTGAATACTAGACTAATTATTTTGTTGATCCTGATCTTCCTACTTCTCTTGTTTTTGTTCCTCTGCTGTGCCTCTGGGTATTAAGTAATCAAAGTAAGCATGCTAACTGTATAGTTATGATGAGCAATAGTGCCTCTTTCAGAATTGTGAGTTACATGGCCTCTGGTGCAAAATACAAACCAAATTCAATTGTTGGAAAGTTGTTACGCGATACTCAGGTGACCTATAAGGCCCGTGGGCCTCTTGTTTTAATCTGACTTCTGTACCAGTCCTCTAGCTCCGTGATCGGGAGGCCGTGAGTTCGAATCACGGTCGCGACTGACCCAAGTCGATAAAAAAATAGGTAGCAACTGTTCCTTTGGCAAGCGCTCGGCACTTTGAAGTGAAAGCTGCGGGTCTTTCAAATAATACCTTAAATACCGAAGCCCCATGTCACGGTAGGCGGTGGCTCGATAAAGAAACTTCACTGCTCAATGGCCCTGAGTGCCGATTAAAGGTACAAATTTGAAGCCCTTCACCGATATATGGTGACGTCTCTATGTGAGTGAAAAAATCTCGAACAGGACATACAACACACAATCAATCAATCAATGTACCAGTCCTCCATTGATAGATTATTTTTCTCTTTACAGCTCTTTCCTTCAGGTTTAAGTGCCTTCACTGATCCAGGCCCTCTCGATGTAGTTCGTGAGCTGTTGTAGTCTATCGCTGATGACGGTGGCAAAAATGGCAGAGTAAGCAGTTTCTTCACGAACTTGACACCATCCCGCTTACTGAAGTCCATCTGCAAAAAAATTTATTAAGGTCTTTCGTTCCAACGGAAGACCTTCTACTGATTCTGATGGTTAAGATTATTAGGGCTTTTCGCTTTCAGGCGAAAAGCCCTATTGTTTTCGTCTTGTTTTATTATTATTATTATTATTATTCTGACACTTTTTATGTCAAGGATTTAAAGAAATCTGAAAGAGATATATTTATTATTTTATGACGTCCTAATAGACCATCTGAATGTCTCTGGAATGTAAGGTTTTGAACTTCCGGTTACGTCACTTCCGGTCTTTGGAAGTCAAAACCTTTCTTTTCAATAGGAGCCAATATCTTTGTTAATTTACAGATAATATCTTTAAAATTTAAGAGATAGATTCTCGATACTATTTCCTACAAAAAAGTTAGCGACAGTGATTTTTGACTACAGATACTTTTCGAGCTATAAGACTCCAAACATTGAAGAAGGGGGGATGAAAATTTCAAAGGTGATAAATAATGGTCGAAAAGATATACTGAGCATAGCAGATTGTTAAGTATGATAAATACAAGTTACACTGTAAGTTTCATGTCAATCAGATCAGTACTTCCGGTTTTATGAGTCTTTGAAATTGTCTAAGGGAGTTTCTGTGTTAAATTCGAAATCACGCATTTCACGTTTTCTCCAAAAGTAAACAAGATATTCTTGTGAAATTCAGAATATAGAATGACTGTGACATTGTTCCGACCTGATTAAGTTTTGAAATTGAAATTCGGGAACATAAGGGATTTCAAGGGGCCAAACCTGAAAACAGACTTTTCCCTGTGACTTTTTTTATTTATTAACCAATTTTTAAACCGTTTTCGGTTTTGGTTTCAGCATTAAGAGTACAACGTAAAAATTATGGTCCGTGGGGTCACTTTTTGACCCCTTATAGGAGTTTCTGAGGACTGAAGAAACGTAATTTGTATTTGTTAAAATAAATATGAAGTAAGAGTTATCTCTCTTTGCATGGTTGTTAGTACGCTTATGTACTGTACAGGTTTCAATTTTGGTGCACATACAAAAAGTACTTCCGGTTTTATTAGTCTTTGAAAATTGTCTATGGGAGTTTCTATGTTAAATTTGAAATCACGCATTTCACGTTTTCTCCAAAAGTAAACAAGATATTCTTGTGAAATTCAGAATATAGAATAACTGTGACATTGTTCCGACCTGATTAAGTTTTGAAATTGAAATTCGGGAAAATAAGGGATTTCAAGGGGCAAAACCTGAAAACAGACTTTTCCCTGTTAATTTTTTATTTCCTAACTAATTTTTAAACCGTTTTCGGTTTTGAGTTTAGTATTAAGGGTACTATGTAAAATGTATGGTCCGTGGGGTCACTTTTTGACCCCTTATAGGAGTTTAAATGGATTGATGTATTGTACTTTTTGTTAATTTTTAAATAGTCATGACAGAGTTATCTCTTTTAATAGCCCTTGATGGACATTTATACTTGTTATGTTTCCAGTTCAGTAGGGATCTGAAAGTAGCTTTGGGTTTATGAACCCCATAATTTTTTTTATAATGTAAGAGTAATTTCTCTTTAAACTCCCAATTTTATTAGGGGTCGAAAAGCCCTCCGTTTTTGTTGAACGACAAAAAAGGTCTAGTTATTATTATTATTATTATTCTTTTTCTTAACACTTTTTTCGTTCAGCGTTTAAGGAGTACCTTTGAAAATAGGTATTTTGTTTTATAACCACTGGAAAGCAAACCTAAATGTCTCGCGTATGTAATGTTTTGAACTTCCGGTTTACTCACTTCCGGTTTCTACTAAAGAAAAACTGAAATTTCTAAAGAAGCTAAAGTCTTGCTCATTTTCAAAGACTAGACTCTCAAATTCAAGATATAAATTCTAGACACCAATACCTACAAAAAAATTAGCGACGGTGATTTTCGGCTACTGATACTTTCTGAGATATAAGACTTCAAACATTCAAAAAGGGGGGATGAAATTTTTAAAAGTCACAATTAAGGTTTGAAAATTTTTTTGAGCATACAAATATGTTAAGACTAATAAGTAGAACATATAGTGTAAGTTTCATATCGATCCAAGAAGAACTTCCGGTCTTAGGGGTCTTAGAAAATTGTCTATGGGAGTTTCTATGTTAAATTGAAATCAGTCGTACCACGTTTTCTTTTAAAATAATCAAGATATTCTTGTGAGATTTTAAGTGTAAAATGACCCAAATACGGTACCGACCTCATTAGGTCAGGAAAAGGTAATTCGGGAAGATAAGGGATTTCTAGGGGCCAACATTGAAAACATACTTTTTCCTGTAACTTTTTTATTTCTCAATGAATTTTTAAACAGTTTTCTATTCTGGGTTCAAATCAAAGGGAGCAGTCTAAAACTTATGGTCCGTTGGGTCACTTTTTGACCCCTTATAGGAGTTACAGAAGACTGAAATAATGTAATTTTTATTTATTTCAAAAATAATGGAGTAAGAGTTATCTCCCTTTGAACATCAGTTAACAGGCTTACATACTCTTTAGGTTTCAAGTCTGGTATGCATTTGACAAGTACTTCCGGTTTGATGAATCTCTAAATTTGTCTATGGGAGTTCTCATGTTAAATGGAAAATTGCACATTTCACGATATCTCTTAAAGGAATCAAGATATTCTTGTGAAAATTGAGTGATATAATGACTGTGATATTGTTTCAAACCCATTAGGGTTTGAAAATGAATTTCTGGAAAATAAGGGATTTCTAGGGGCCAAAGTTGAAAACTGACCTTTGCCCATAACTTTTTTAATTCTTAATGAATTTTTGAACAGTTTTCTATTCTGGGTTTAGCTTAAAGAGTACAATCTAAAAATTATGGTCCGTGGGGTCACATTTTGACCCCTTGTAGGAGTTACAGAGGACTGAAATAATGTAATTTTTATTTATTTCAAATTTGATGAAGTAAGAGTTATCTCCCTTTGCACATCTGTTTGCGGGTTTACATACTCTTTAGGTTAAAAGTTTGGTATGTATATAACAAGTACTTCCGCTTTGATGAATGTCTGAATTTGTCTATGGGAGTTCCCGTGTTAAATGCAAAAATGCACATGTCACGATATCTCCTAAACAAAGTAAGATATTTTTGTGAAGATTGAGTGATATAATGACATTGATAATGTTTCAACCCGATAAGGGCCTGAAAATGAAATTCTGAAAAATAAGGCATTTCAAGGGGCTAATATTCAAAACTGATTTTCCCATGTAACTTTTTTATTTCTAAATGAATTTTTGAACAGTTTTCGATTCCGAGTTAAGCATAAAGGGTACAGTTTAAAAATTATGGTCCGTGGGGTCACTTTTTGTCCCCTTATAGGTGTTTTAGAGACCTGAAATATAGTAACTTTTAGTAATTTTCAAAATAAAATTGTAAGAGTTATCCCCCTTTGCAGAGCTCTAGTGAGAATTACATGCTCTTTAAGTTTCCATTTTTATAAGCTGCTGAAGACTTGATCCTGTTTGATTATTTATTATTAGGGCTTTTCGCTTTCAGGCGAAAAGCCCTATTGTTTTCGTCTTTTTTATTATTATTATTATTATTATTATTCTTTTTCTTAACACTTTTTTCGTTCAGCGTTTAAGGAGTACCTTTGAAAATAGGTATTTTGTTTTCTAACCTCTGGAAAGCAAACCTAAATGTCTCGCGTATGTAATGTTTTGAACTTCCGGTTTACTCACTTCCGGTTTCTACTAAGGAAAAACTGAAATTTCTAAAGAAGCTTAAGTCTTTCTCATTTTCAAAGACTAGACTCTCAAATTCAAGATATAAATTCTAGACACCAATACCTACAAAAAAATTAGCGACGGTGATTTTCGGCCACTGATACTTTCTGAGATATAAGACTTCAAACATTCAAAAAGGGGGGATGAAATTTTTAAAAGTCACAATTAAGGTTTCAAAATTATTTTGAGCATAGAAATATGTTAAGACTAATAAGTAGAACATATAGTGTAAGTTTCATATCGATCCAAGAAGAACTTCCGGTTTTACGGGTCTTAGAAAATTGTCTATGGGAGTTTCTATGTTAAATTGAAATCAGTCGTACCACGTTTTCTCTTAAAACAATCAAGATATTCTTGTGAGATTTTAAGTGTAGAATGACCTAGATACGGTACCGACCTCATTAGGTCATGAAAAGGTAATTCGGGAAAATAAGGGATTTCTAGGGGCCAACATTGAAAACATACTTTTTCCTGTAACTTTTTTATTTCTCAATGAATTTTTAAACAGTTTTCTATCCTGGGTTCAAATCAAAGAGAGCAATCTAAAAATTATGGTCCGTGGGGTCATTTTTTGACCCCTTATAGGAGTTACAGAAGACTGAAATAATGTAATTTTTATTTATTTCAAAAATAATGGAGTAAGAGTTATCTCCCTTTGAACATCAGTTAACAGGCTTACATACTCTTTAGGTTTGAAGTCTGGTATGCATATGACAAGTACTTCCGGTTTTATGAATCTCTGAATTTGTCTATGGGAGTTCTCATGTTAAATGGAAAATTGTCCATTTCACAATATCTCTTAAAGTAATCAAGATATTCTTGTGAAAATTGAGTGATATAATGACTGTGATATTGTTTCAACCCCATTAGGGTTTGAAAATGATATTCTGGAAAATAAGGGAATTCTTAATGAATTTCTGAACAGTTTTCTATTCTGGGTTTAGCTTAAAGAGTACAATCTAAAAATTATGGTCCGTGGGGTCACATTTTGACCCCTTGTAGGAGTTACAGAGGACTGAAATAATGAAATTTTTATTTATTTCAAATATGATGAAGTAAGAGTTATCTCCCTTTGCACATCTGTTTGCGGGCTTACATACTCTTTAGGTTAAAAGTTTGGTATGCATATGACAAGTACTTCCGATTTGATGAATGTCTGAATTTGTCTATGGGAGTTCCCGTGTTAAATGCAAAAATGCACATGTCACGATATCTCCTAAACAAAATAAGATATTCTTGTGAAGATTGAGTGATATAATGACATTG